AGATCTGGGTTTGAGAGAGAACCCAGATCTGGGTTTGCAGAGTTAAGGGAAAAGGCAAGGTAAAGGAGAAAGAGTGAAAGAGGAAGACAAGATGAATCGGATGAAAAAATATATATCATTAATTTTAAATAAATAAAAAATGCCAACTCATAAAAAAAATTAGCCAACTATGTTTTTTTTTTTTTCCATGTCATTGATTAAAAAAGAAAAGAATTGATTTGCTGTCATTTTAACGAGCCACTTGGCATTTAACTGACGGAAGGACCATTTTGGTACCAAAAATGAAAGTTTAAGGATAATTTTGGTACTTTTTAAAGGTGAAGGACAATTTTAGTACCAAAGTGATAAGTTGAGGGACTAAAATGGTACTTAAACCTTAAAAGTAATATAGACCTTGGTTCAGGGACATGTCCTAAATCGTTGGGACAAGTTGTAGGCAAGAATTAGGGTGGCCTGATTTTATAGTTTCCAAATTGACTTTGGCTTTATCTTATATCCTTTTTCACTAGGTTTTTGTTATGTGACTATTTAACTCATGTAAGGCCTACCACCAGGATTATTATTCTGCATTTTATTATCAAATTACTGAAGGAATTTTCCTGCTTGCTCAGTTTGGATTCATTCTTGAGTCTAACGAGATTTAGACTAACCTACCTTTATTCACACTGCGTCAGTTGGTATCAGAGCAGGAACACATAATCTTGGTATCATGGCCGACGGGTTTGGAGGAAATCATCTTGATGTCGTCGGAGAAGGGATGAAGATGGTTGCAGATCTGGAGCGTCGATTTGAAAGGTGGCTCACAAAGATAAAAAGGAGTCTCGATGAGATCCATGCAAGTTTGCGCACTCTTGCAGTGGATCCCAATAGGAGGCCGGAGGTGGCAAGGGATGCTAACCAAGATGTTGCTCGAGAGCGCCTTGTTGATCAACATCATCCTATTAATTGGAGATTACATGCTTATGACCATTCGAGTGATGATGATTTTTATATAGCCCAACAAGTGGTGAACCGTGGGAACCCAAGGAATGCCAGGGGACGTGGACGCGGCTCTGTTAGAAGGTTCGGAAGTGGCCATGGAGAAGGGTATCGAGAGAATCACTATGAACCAGAAGACTTCCGTCTAAAGGTAGATCTTCCTACTTTTGATGATTCTCTTGATATTTAGGGAGTTTTAGATTGGTTGTGAGAAGTAGATCGATTCTTTGATTACATGGACACCCGAGAAGAGAAGAAAGTAAAGTTGGTAGCATATCGATTGAAAGAGGTGCCACCCTTTGGTGGGACAAGGTGCAGGATATTCACCGAAGAGAAGGAAGGGATCCTGTTCGAAAATGAAATCTCAGCTAGCCACCCAAGAAGGGGGTGAATTGGGTTTTATCAATTCGAACTTAAAAACTTGTTTCTTTTTCTCTCAAAACTTAAATCAAGTTTGTAATTATAAGCTGTTGTGCAGGATAAACAAAGAGTAATATAGTGCAGAAAAATAAAAGAGAGGGAAGAGAATATCAAGCCGTGATTTATAGTGGTTCCTCCAACCTAGAGTACATCCACTCCCTAAGCCTCCTTGCTTGAGAGTTCAATCCATTAGAAATCTCTTGCTTACGAGTGTAAGATTAAACCGAAACAAACTTTTGCTTGTGGGTGCAAGATTAAACCCCCATAAGTGAATCTCAACTCATTCAACCCCTTCAAGGATTATCCTAATCCAAGAAGAATACAAAACCCTTGTAAGACAATTAACCCAAAAGCTCACAAGAAGAAGAAGATGAAAGAGATCCAGAACAGTTTCAAACTCTATTTTCTATAACACTAGAGAAGTTCGTCCTTCTTCATTCTTTCCAGATCTAATTTTATGATCTTTTTAATAGTAGGTTTAGAGCCTTGGAATTAAAGCCCATTTAGCCCTTCAAAGCCACCTCACTAATGCTCCAATTAGATTCCACCTTATTCTACCAACTTTGACTTGACTTTAGAAAGTGCTCAGATAATTGGTTCCCCCAAGGCCTATTAAGAATAAGAATAAATGGATAGTTGAGCTGTCAAAATTTAATCTTCCAAAAATTTTGATTCGAAGCCAAAAATAATTGTTCAAACCTTTTTCGGAAAAAAGAAGTTTGGGATTGATTCGAATCAAATTAAATTGGTTCTAACCCAGAACTCTGAACAAGGGGAACATGAATTAATTCTAATCGTGAGGAAAGATTAGAATCCTTGAATTAATTTTCTTGCACACTTAGCACAAAAATAGATTAAACTCTTTTGAATCATGGTTTTAAATTATCATCAAAATACAAAGAGAACCTAACAGAAATTGGTATTGTATGAGGCAAAAGCTTCAAGCACGATTCCTAACCCCTGGCTACAAGCAGTATCTTTTCTCTCAATACCAAAGGTGTGTTCAAGGCTAGAGGTCAATCCATGAGTATACCAATGGGTTTATGAGGTTGGCAGCTCATAATGATCTTAGTGAGATTAAGAGTCAGCAAGTGGCAAGGTATCTTGATAGATTAAGACCAGCATTACGAGAGAAAATTGGGATCCAAATGATTCATGATGTTTCAGAGGCAAAGAACGTAGCTCTTAAGGCTAAGAGGGTGGAGCAAGAAAAAAGAGTAAAAGCTAATGATAAATATCGTCAGAATTATGATGGGGCTAGCCCAGGGGTTGAGAAGGCTCAAGTTAGCTTGGACCAAAACAAGGCAGCAATTAAACTACCAATAGGGAAGAGTACAAGAAAAAGAGCAATAGTTGAGCCTGTGGCACCTAAGACACAAAACACAAATCCATATGCTAGGCCAATCCTAGGAAAGTGTTACAAGTGCAATCAAGTAGGACATTGATCAAGTGATTGTCCACTACGTAAGAATGTGGCATTGGTAGTGCAAGAAGATGGGGTAGATGACGTGCTTTGTGACCTAAATTGTGAGGAGGATTGTGAAGAAGACGATGTTGGGCAGACCTATGTTGTTAGAAAGATGATGTTGACCCCAAAACAAGATGGATGGAATCAACGAGATAAGTTGTTCAGAACAAAATGTGAGATCTAGTCAAAAAAATTTTATTTAATTATTGACAATGGCAGTCAGGAGAACATCATTGGCAAGCTGTACAAAAGCTACAACTGGAGGTAGAGAAACATCCAAACCCTTACACTATTGGGTGGATTAAATCTGGAAGAGATATTCGAGTAACAAAGAGATGTCGAGTTCCATTCTCTATAGGTCAATATCATGATGAAGTTTTTGTGATGTGGTTGACATGGATGCCTGTCATGTATTGTTTAGTAAGCCTTGGCAATTTGATACAGATGCCTAGCACCAAGGCAAAGACAATGTGTACCGATTAGTAAAGGAAGGTGTTTGTTACACCTTATTATTGTGTCAAAGAAATTAAAGCCTAAAGCTGCTCCAATGGAAGAAGGGAAGGCCTTCTTAACAATGGCCTATTCAGGAAAGAGGTTCCTAGAAGAATGTAAGGAGACTAAGGAAATTCATATGCTGTTAGTGAAGAAGTTGCCAAGTGATGAGAAGTAAGAGGAGGTATCCAATAAAGTAAGACCTTTACTTGCAGAATTTCAAGACATAATTCTTGAGGAATTACCACATGGATTGCCCCCTTTGAGGGATATTCAACATCACATTGACTTAATTCCTGAAGCAAGCTTGCCGAACTTGCTTCATTATCGAATGAGTCCAAAAGAGAATGAGATTTTAAGGGAGAAGGTGGAGGAACTACTTGAAAAGGGACTGATTCGAGAGAGTATGAGTCCATGTGTTGTTCCAACCTTACTTACGCCAAAGAAGGATGGGAGTTGGCGAATGTGTGTGGATAGTAGGGCAATCAACAAGATAACAGTTGGATACAAATTCCCTATTCCAAGGTTAGATGATATGTTGGATCAATACATGGAGCTACTGTGTTCTCCAAACTTGATCTCTGAAGTGGCTACCACCAAATTCGGATTAGACCAGGAAAAGAATGGAAAACTGCATTTAAGACATGAGATGGCTTGTATGACTGGTTGGTGATGCCATTTGGTTTGAGCAATGCCTCCAGCACTTTTATGAGACTTATGAACTAGGCACTTAAACCTTTTATTGGTCAATTTGCTATTGTTTACTTTGATGATATTTTGACTTACAATAAATCAAAAAAGGCGCACCTAAACCATTTGTATGAGATTCTTACAGTTTTGCAGAAAAATAAGCTCTTCTTGAACCTTAAAAAATGTACCTTCATGATGAAAAAGCTCCTTTTCTTGGGTTATGTGGTCAGTTTGGAAAGGATCCATGTCGATGAGGAGAAAATTCGAGCAATTCAAGATTGGCCTACACCGAAAACAGTCGAGGAGGTACGAAGCTTTCATGGTCTTGCCACTTTCTACAAGAGATTCATTTGAAACTTTAGCACCATTGCAGCCTCTATCATCGAATGTTTAAAGAAAGGGAAATTCCATTAGGGAGAAGAGGAAGAAGCAAGTTTTGCTTTAATTAAACAAAAGTTATGTATTGCACCTATTCTAGCTTTGCCTAGCTTTGACAAATTATTTGAGGTGGAGTGTGATGCATGTGGGGTGGGAATTGTAGCAGTACTTTTTCAAGAAAAGAAACATGTTGCTTACTTTAGTGAGAAGCTTAGCGATGCTCGGAAGAAGTGGACAACTTATGATAAGGAATTCTATGCGATGGTGAGGGCTTTGAAGACTTGGGAACACTACCTTTTTGGTAAGGAATTTGTTTTGTATTTTGACCATCAAGCATTGAAGTATTTGAGTAGTCAAAAGAAGATTACTAGTGATTTGCATGCTCGATGGTCTGCATTCTTACAGAAGTTTCCATTCAAATTAGTGCACAAATCTAGGTCTGCAAATAAAGTTGCTTATGCTTTAAGTAGGCATGCAGCTTTGCTTACCCTCTTCAAAGGAGAAATTGTGGGATTTGAGGAGTTGAAAGATTTGTATAGTGAGGATCCATATTTCCATGAAGTGTGGATGAAATTGCAAAAACATGGTACAACAAAAAAAACTATCACATCTTTGAAGGCTATTTAATGGGAGATAATCAATTATGCACTCCACCATCTTCATTAAGGGAGAAGCTAATTCGTGACTTGCATGGAGGGGGACTAGCTGCTCATTTAGGTCAAGACATGACCTTAGAAGCTGTCAAAGAGCAGTACTTTTGGCCTCAATTATGAAGGGATGTTGATCACTTTGTGAAGAGGTGTTATGTGTGTCAAACTTCCAAGGGGCACTTGCAAAACACTAGGTTATATATGCCCTTGCCAATTCCGGATAATGCTTGGGAGGACTTATCTATGGACTTTATTCTTGGGCTTCCTCATACACAACGAGGTATGGATTCTTGTTTTGTTGTTGTTGACAGGTTTTCAAAAATGGCTCATTTCATCCCATGTCGAAAGACTGCTAATGCTAGCAACGTCACCAAGCTATTTTTTTGAGAGGTGGTGCACCTCCATGGGGTGCCTAAGTCAATTGTATCAGATTGTGACACTCAATTTCTTAACCATTTTTGGACAACTTTATGGAGGATGTTCGAAACTTCTTTGAAGTTTAGTAATATTGCACACCCTCAAACAGATGGGCAAGCAGAGTCACTGAATCGTACTCTCAGTAACATGATTAGAAGTATTTGTGGGGATAGACCCAAACAATGGGATTTTGCTTTAGCTCAAGCAAAGTCTGCTTATAACAGTGCAGTACATAGTACCACTTGTAAGTCACCATTTTTTGTTGCCCAGAACACATGGAATCAGTGCAGTAGTTGAGAACTTGGTAGAGCAAATTCAAGGGATCCAGGAAGAAATAAGGCAGAAGTTTGAAGCAACCAATGTTAAATATAAGAAGGTAGCGGACAAGCATAGGAAAGAAAGTTTCTTTGAAGAGGGTGAGTTGGTGATGGTATTTCTTTGCAAAGAAAGGTTTCCAATGGGGACTTATAACAAACTAAAACCCAAGAAGTATGGCCCATACAAAATCCTTAAGAAGATTAACAACAATGCTTATGTGGTTGACCTTCCAGAGTCCATGGGTATTTCCCACACTTTCAATGTGGCTGACATCTTTCCATATTTTGCTTCAACAGAAACGATGTACCCAAAGCTTATAGATAACTCGAGGTCAAGTTTTTCACAAGTGGGGGAGACTAATATAGACCTTGGTTCAGGGACATGTCCTAAATCGTTGGGACAAGTTGTAGGCAAGAATTAGGGCGGCCTGATTTTATAGTTTCCAAATTGACTTTGGCTTTATCTTATTTCCTTTTTCACTAGGTTTTTGTTATGTGACTATTTAACTCCTGTAAGGCCTACTGCCAGGACTATTATTCAACCTTTTATTATCAAATTATTGAAGGAATTTTCCTGTTTGCTCAGTTTGGATTCATTCTTGAGTTTAACGAGATTTAGACTAACCTACCTCTATTCACGTTATGTCAAAAAGTTTAAATGCTATTTTAAGATAAATTTAGAGATTGAAGAAGGGTTTTTGTCCTAAAAAAGGGCTAAATAATATATTTCAAAAGACTAAAGAGTTTTTTAAGTAAAAAATTAACCAATGACTTAAGTAATTCAGTTGTTATTTCCTTTCGCTGAAATATAAATTAAAAAACACTTTCATTAAAATAAAAAGACCAAAATAAAATTTTAACCTTTTTATTATTATTATGATAAAAGATGGCATTTTCGTTATTACCGATCTTTGCATGAGCGGTGGACTACAGAACAACTCGGTATATAGGGATTGATCTACACACACATTTATGAGCTTTCTGGCTCTGTTATAACTCCGCAGGGCCCCCAATAGCTGACTTCTATGGGTAATGGTTTTTTTTTTCTTTTCTTTTAGCACCTCCTGATCCAGATCAATCCCTCATACAAAAGCCCATTTATAAGATTAATTTAGTAAAAAATTAATAAACTCCATTATGATTCACCTCCATCTCAAAAAACCCAATTAATACATCAATTGGAAACTAGATATCCATAAGCAACACTGATTATTCGTTTTAATTTTGGTTTGCTTTTGGGTTTCAAAGCTTAGAAACATTAATTGATAAACCAATCTTGAGGAAAACAAACATGGGAGAAAGGAGCTTTGTAAAACCCTCCATACCAAGCCT